TGCACGTATGACTTAACTCTTTGGGATAAATACCAAGGAGTGGTATAGCTGGGTCATATGCTTGTTTCATTTCTAGTCTTTTGAGGACTCTCCACACTGATTTCCACAGTGGTTGTACTAGCATTTACCCATTCTAACCAGGGTGAGATAAAATATCAGTGCACTGTTGATTTGCAGTTCCCTAATTGCTAAAGATATTGAACATGTTTTCATACATTTATTGGCAGTTTGAATTTCTTCCTTGGAGAAATATCTAGTTAGTTCATTCAGGGCAACATCTTGTGATCTTTCCACCATGCATAGTAACAATTACATGTCACTATAAAATATTACTTAATTTAGGTGCCCCTCAGAAACAGTTAAAATCACTATTGTGAGAATTATGGCCTCAGGATAAAGCACAGTCCATCTTTTATGTCCCCCTTCCCCATTTGCTACTTCCCGTCAGTAACACTGTACATTTTAGCACTGTCTGTCCTGAAAAGCTGAGGTTGGCTCAATGTTATTGGTATATTTTTGTCCTCCCTCCTCTCCTTCACAAAACTGAGATTCACAGAGACTTCACCTTTGGCATAGAAGCTGTTAGGGTCAAACTAGGTGGAAAACTAAGAACCCCTCAGAGAGCACACAACCACTGTAAAGGCCTGGCTCTCTGCAGAGACAAGTCTGTGTGACCATTAATTCAGGTAAAGCTTTTGTTATGGCAGAGTGAATAACATTTTGCTCACTTTTGAAAGTCCATTTTAGTCGGAAACTCCAAATGCTCTGATCTAGACGAGCTTCAAGTCTTATAAGATTAACTAAAACTATGGTTTTACAAAGTGATGGTACAGGAAGGAAAAGAAAAAAAAAATAGACTATATGAAAGAATTAGGCACTTCCAAAACAGTTCTGGCTTTGCCCCCAATAGACATTTAAAAAGTATCTTTCTCCTTAGTTGTCTTACCATCTAAAATAATTTGAGACATAATTTATATATACTTTAGGCCTTTATTTCTTAAACCCATGTCTTAAAAGTAAAAAAGAGGAGTCAAGCCTGGTAGCTAGGAATCAAGAAGTACTATTTTCACATCATGGAGGAGGAATTGTTCAATAGGTCAATGATGTTTGAGACTGCATCTTTACTAACTTAGTGGAATTTGGATAGTGTATTGCATGACTGAATTTTAGATTTTTCAGATTTCATGAGCGATGGCGGCTCTATACAAACACAAACACACACACACACACACACATACCTCATCATAAGCTTCACTCCTTCGGAGCTTGGCCTGTATGGGTTCCAGGCCACTACAGAGTTGCTAATTTGACTAGTGTTAGTTTATGTGATTTCAATTAGACATAATTCCATTTAATGACATATCATCACAGCTAATGATTGTTACAAGAGATAGTTGAAGTCTTTTTTCATTTGAAATGAGAAGCCCAAGCATCTTTTTAATGTAGAGACATAGGAGAAGTGCTTGGTTTGATCAGTAAGTTTTGTTCTTACTCTTTTAAACCAACTAGTAGAATTCTGCATAGATAGAAATTGACGTGAACTGTGTATGTTAAATGAATAATAGGAAACATTTATTGAGGATTTCCTCTGGTGCCAGGCATTTTCTAAGGACTTCATGGTAATTCATTTGATTCTCTCAAAAAAAAAAAAATCTTATATTGATCTATGTAATTTATTCCCACCTCCCAAGTGAGGAAACAGAAGTTGAAGTACTTATCCAAACTCCATCAGGAACACAGGAAGCCTAACTTCATCACTAAGCATCAGTACTTTGCACTATCCTACCTTTTATTAAACATTTTAAATTTGTTTTGATGTTGGCAAACCAAGCACACACAGCAACAGTGTTGTGCTAAACAGCCTTTACAGAGATTGAATTCACCAAACCCTAGATGATCATCACAGTAAAAAAGTGATTTAATTATGGAACCAGGGCATTTTGGACATAAGAGAAAAATGGAGAGACCTTTTTGGACCTTATCTAATTCTTCTTATCAATTAAATCAGCCCCTCTAAACTAAAATTTTCTTTACTAATTGTAGATATCTCATCACATTATCCAGCTTGGTAAGTCAACATTTCTAATATTTTTTAAGATGAAACTAAGATATTATAATAGTTTAACTGATCTCTGCTTTTAGCTAATCTCCCTTACGACAGCAAGAGGAATCTTTTTTTTTCTTCCACCCTTACCTAGATGTCATGCCCTTGCATTAAACTTTCAATGGTTTCCCCCGTTGCCTGGTCAGTGGTTCTCAGATTTTTTGATTTATCATGGTGATAGTTGCAAAACTCTGCATTTACTAAAACCAATGAACTCTGCATTTTAAATAGGTGAATTGCATGACATGTGAATTGTATCTCAACAACTGTTTTTTTAAAATGTATATGGGAATCAAAGCATCTGGAAGCCATGGCATACTATGTGTGGCACACCATTTGGAACCATCAGCAATTTTACTAGTAGAAAATAAAACCATAATATATGTTTATATATTATATAGTATATCTATAATATTCACAATATATTTATAACATTAAAATTTACTACAACAATACCTACAAAAACAGTAGTTATCTAAGATTATTGAGAATTTCTAACATTTGTCTTTCATATTAAATTGCCATTTATTGGGCTGGGGATATAGCTCAGTAGTAGAGCACTTGCCCCTTTTTTTCAACCTGGTGTTAGATAATGATGTTTCCACTTTCTCCTCTTACTACATAGCCTCACTGCTGTCCTAGTAAGTAGCTAAGAACTTTCCAGGCACATCCTGTGTCTTTGTTCACATGCCTTCCCTTTCCTGGGATATTTCCCTAGAAGTCCCCTCTTCATGTAGCCCTTCAAGGCTCACCTAACTTTCTTTTTACCTCCCAGCTTCTCTTATCCAGGAAAGCACCATCAGAGCAGGAAAAAGTATACATCTTACTAAATGCTGTATTTCTAGCACAAAAATTCAGCCTAGTACATAGAAAATGCTCCCTAAACAGCCCATTCTGTTTCTTCAAGTCTCGATGCACAGACCTATCCTCAACACATGGTGCTGAGATTGTTTTTCAGTGACTCCACTCTCAAAGCCTCCTTCCCTGGCCACCTGTGAGCTCTTGAAGGCTAAAATTATGTTCTTATCACATACTAGATGCTCAATAAATAGTCAGTATATTTAGCCAGGCAAGATAGTAATTCTAGCTACTTGGGAGGGTGAGGAGGATCACTTGAGCCCAGGAATTAAAGACCAGCCTGGGCAACATACTGAAAACCTGTCTCTTTAAAAAGAAAAAAAATCTGGTATATTTAGATAAATTGAAACTATATTGTATCTGGCACCATGGCACACGCCTGTGATCTCTGGAGGCCAAGGCAGGAGGATCACAAGTTCAAGGCCAGCCTTAGCAATTTAGTAAGGCCCTAAGCAATTTAGCAAGACCCTGTCTCAAAAATTTAAAAAGGGCTGGGAGTGTAGCTCAGTAATCAAGATCCCTTGAATTCAATCCCTGGTACAAACAAAGAAAAAATAAAAAAAGAATAAACTTACCAGAACAAGAGCCAAAGGGATTTCTAAGCTGAAGAAATCCAGCCCCATGACAGAAGGTAGGGCATGAGCACCCTAGTGGGACTGGTGTGTGGTTTCAGTGTCCAGCTCCTGGCTGGAAGGCACAAGCTGGCAGGAGAAGGGAAGAGTGTGCTGGTCCTGGCAGCCCTCCTAGGCTGGACATTACAACAGGAGCAACTGGATCAGATCCGTTTCCCCCCACCCCACCTCGCCCCCTGCCCCCAACACACAGCTTGTTGACTGTATAAGAGAGTTGGCTGGATCAGGTGTGACATGTGGACAAAAGCCAGTGGGACACTGGAATCCTGATGAGAACCAGCTTGAGACCTAGGGTTGCGTTCTAACTAGTGAGCAATCAGCCAACACTAGTGCTATATAAACTACACACTACGCAGAAGTAAGAATGTGGTAGAACTAACAAAGCTGGTTTGCTGGGAAGGCCAGTATCATTCACTTTTTAAAGAGTCCTGGCCTCTGTGAAGCCCTCCCTGATTTTCCCAGCCTAAAAGGGTCCCTTTCTTTCTCTCTCTCCTCCCTCTCTCTCCTTCTCCCTCACCTTTCCTTCCTTGCCCCTCCCTTTCCCCTCCTCTTCCCCCTTCTCTCCCCCTCCTCTGATATCTTCCAGAGTGTCTAATTCTGTGCTTAGGACACTTCGCAACTTTTGGCTTATGCTGTAGTTGTTTGTCCTCATTCCTGGTACCACCTTTTTTCATCTTGCCTAATTTTACAAGCTTTTATCTGATACAGTGCAGCTTTAAAAGACACCTCGGAGCAAGACAAGGTACAAAGCAATCAAGAATAAATATTGTTAAATTTTTGCTTGCTTTGGCAGCACATATACCAAACTTGGAATGATACAGAGAAGATTAGCCTGGCCCCTGCACAAGGATGATACTCAAATTTGTGAAGCATTAAAATAAATAAATATTGTTAAATATTAAGTTTCAAGAGTCGAAAAGTCACGTCCCACTCACCTTTACAAATCCCACACGATTATGCAAAATATTTATTGTTGCCTAAATCATATAGTGATAACAATATGGCAAAAACGTACCTTGACTTTTAAAGAAGTTGACATTTACTAGAATATTTATATAGATGTCTATCTTGAATTCTTTTAAATTTTCATCCCTCTAGAGCATGCCCCCACTATCTGTCATTTTTTTTTCTTTTTTTCTAGATTTGATTTGCCAAATTTTCATCCTTTAAATAGTCATTTTTTTTTGGAAAGAAGCCCCTAGATTTAATTGTTATGCCTTTTCCTCCCAAAAAAAGATAGGGTTTAGGGGTGTAGCTCAGTGGTAGAGCTGCTTGTCCAGCATGTGTGAGGCCCTGGGTTGGATCCCAAGTACTGCAGAAAGAGGGAGAGAAAAGGGGGTGAGGGAAAGAGGTTGACTTACTTCAAAGTATAAAGTAAAAATACAAAGAAATAAAAATATCTGACAGTCACTGAGACACAATTTTATAAAGAACATTAGCCATAAGTATAGTATAATGAATTATAAAGGTTTGCTGACCTTTTAATGGGGGAAATAACCAAAGAAACAAAAATATTTTAAAAACACAGCATCATAAAAAAATTAAGAATTTCCACTTCCATTTCAGCCCTCTTTGAATTTACATTCAAAAATCTCAATGTTGTGCTGCAGTTCATAGACTAGCCATTTTCTCATTGCAAATATCCACAACGATCAGTCCCTTATACACAATTAAAAGGAACATTTCCAGTTAGTTATACAGTACTTCAAAGCTAATATTTAATCCTAATTGGCATCAAGTTTAGTGCAAATAAAATTATATTTAGCAGCTTAGGGAATTTCTGCTGGGGAGGAATTTTTCTCTTAACCCTTATGACTTCCCCAGAATGAAATTATTCCCCTCTTCTATCAATACCAATGTTGGCCATTCAAACCTATTGAAACTACTACTAATAATTCTGTGGCACAGGGAGTTTCCCTGAAAGATGGTTTCAGTCACTATGCAAATGAGCCACATGCTTTATACATTTGGAAAGTTCCCTTTGGGTTGATACAAAAAGCAGGGCCTAACTGACATTCATTACTCTATACGGAGTAGAATCAAGGTTGAAGTTGGACCTTACCCACCTACTTCTCTCATCAGTGAAGAAACCCAAAAGAGGGAAGGCACTCATTGCTCTGTGCATTAGCTATCACAGGTTCAATTGAGAAGATTCAGGCTCAAGGCTGAGGAATCTCTTCAATCAAATTGTACTCACCAGTAATAATTTTATTACACTGATTTGAATGCCAAGAAAACATATCAAGAAAAAGAAAGCCATCTGATTTCAAACCTGGTGCTTTCCATGTTCTGCCAAGATTTATTCTCCAAATTAATAGATGCCAGAGAGCTACTAGCCAGAGAAGGGTTTCCCCCCCTGAGTTTTGGCATTCTTTGAATTGCTTCTTTTTTTGTTGGACATCTGTTACCTTTCTAGCCAAGGCCTAGGATTGCTGCTTCAGAAAACAATGTAGCTTACTGCGCCTAAAATTTCCACTGGCAAAGGAAATGGTAGAATACCTCCTGAGTTGTAAGTGCTGGCTTTGCCACTTGGCTAGGCTTCACTGGCCCAAGAACATGAGCCTTCACAAAGCTGAGATGGCTCCTAAGGTCCACTGTGCTGACATGAAACCCAGGGAGGCCATTCCACTTGACCTCTCTCTTTACCAACCCCTCAGCTGCTTTTCTATTCTCCCTGAATTCTCTGAGTACTCAAAGATGAGAGTGTGGTTGCTGCATGTTGGAGAGAGGGGCCCACCTCAGTCACTACACTCTTCTACCCGTGGAATAGGGAATTTCTCATACTGGTTGGCCAGTTTCCATTTGTTGTGCTGACTTTTGAGTAGTGCAGCTAAGGAAGTCTTTCGGGTGACATTTCTAGATACTTCCCGGCTCTTGGCCTTCCTAGTGGGGGAAGAGCTTTGGACTAAGGGATATACAGAGAAAATGGGCTTGCCCCGAGGAGCTCCCAGCAGCTGCCATATTTCCCCAGAGGTATTACTGGTCAGATATTGCCATGGTTTCTTTCCACTGCTGTCCCGGACATTCACCCGAGAAGACAACTTTTGCACTAGCAGTTTGATGACTCCCTGGTGGCCATGAATGGCTGCAAGGTGTAGTGGGGTATACCCACAACTAGACTTCACATTTACATCAAGCACAATCCCTGTCTTCCGTGCTCCTGAGACCAAGTCCTGAAGGGCCTGAAGGTTGCCATGTTTGGCTATCCAGTGCAAGGCAGTGTATCCAGTCAAGAAGTCTTTGTGCAAAGCCAACTGAGGGTCCTCCCAAAACAGTGTCAACACCTGAATCCAAGAGCCACTGGCAAGCTTCACAATCCATTCATGCTCCCTGGCATCTAGGGGGACCAGTGATGACTTGTGCTCAGAAGTTCTGTGGGGTACCAAGGCAGCAGACCCATTCCCACTGGAGACCCTAGTGTCTGCCAGTTTCAGTGTCAAAGCTGCATCCACCCTTGGGCTGGGCATTGTTCCTGCCTTGGAAGGTTTCCTGGGGCGTGGTGGGCGACGACTCCTTTTCAGCAAGTCCTCATCAAGGTACTCTTCATCAGAGGAAGACAGTTTGGCCTTCCCTGCCCTAAAGCTCCTTCTGAGAGACCTCCTTAACTTGGGAGCTGGCCAAGGCAAAGGCTCCTGGGAGTGGTGTGGGGGGCCTTTAGCCCCTGTTGGAACTTGTTGATAGGTATGACCGTTCCCTCTGTTCCTGAGGCCCTGAGGACTCTGAGGGCTGCCTTTCTTTGGAGGTACAGATAGGCCCCCAGCTGGATTCCTGAGCTTTCCCCAAACTGGGGTTCCCAAGGCAACTTGTAACCCCTCTTCAGAACCCCCAGGGGACTCTTTGGGCCCACTGCTGCTCTCCTCACTGCCATGGCTCTCCTGGTCCACAAAGTCATCCAGATCTTGGAGGGATAACTGACAACGAATGCTACGAAAGACAGCCTGTGGAGGATTCCCTGGCCACGAACCTGGGGACTCTTCAGGAACCACAGGAAAGAGAGAATGAGAGGAATGAGGGAGCTCTGACAGCGGTGATTTAGTCTCTAAGTTTGGCTCCAAGGGTATCCTGAGAAAGTTGTCCGGCAGCACTGACCAGGCCCGAATGGGACCCTGGTCCCGGGTCTGGGGCATCTGAGGGTGTCTGGCTACCCATTCTCGAGTGCGCTGCTGCTGCAGTTGCAGAGTGGAATGGTGCAGGGAACCTGAGGTCAACAGCTCTGGTCGGTCTCCTGGAGGGGTGGGGCGGGGCAGGAGAACTGCAGGAGATACCCTGCACTCAGCAGCTTCGGTGATGGCGGGAGGCGAGCGGGGCGTTGCAGGCACCCGCGAGGGCTCACCCCGCGCGCCTTCTGGCAGCTGCCTTGGAGCCCCGCAGTCATCCTGAGCAGGCTGAGCTCGCGCGGGCTTCTCCTTGGCAGTGGCAGGGTCCGGGAGCGCTCCGAGTGGCGGCACTTCCGGGAGCTCCCCCAGGCTGTTCTGGAGACATTCCCAGCAGCAGCGGCCCTGCGTCTCCGCCGCCGCGCACCTGGCTGCAGCTGCCGCCTTAGCCACCGGCACCGGAGCCCTTCGGCCGGGGCTGAGCCTCTGGCAGCCGTCTTCCCTAGTCGCTTCCCGGGTTCTGCTGGCCAGGAGTCCATTGCAACCTGCGACCTCGGCTAGGGCTGCGGTACCTGGTGGCTCCTCCTCTGGCTCCTTGTCGCGCCGCCGCCGCCGCCGAGACTGCGGTGGTTGAGGCTCCCCGCGGCGTGCGCTCGGCGGGGAGCTGGGCGCAGTTCCCCTTGCAGGGGCAGCGGCAGCAGGCGGCTCGCGGGGTCGCTGCAGCCCCTCCTCCCCCAAAAGGTCCCTATACCTCCTCTTGAGCACGACGTACTTGGTGCCGTCGGGGTCCTGGCGCACTGCGGCGACCGAGTTGACGAAGCCTTTGAAGAGCTCGCGGCGTTGCTGATGCTGGCTGGGGGAGGCGTCGGGGTCTCGGAGAAAGCTCTTGAAGTGGCTCAGCAGGGCGGCGTTGGTCACTCGGCCCCCAGCCTGGCACAGAAAGTCCAGTAGTGCCTCCTGGCTCAGCTCTAGGGCCATCGCTGCCTTGCCCCTTGCCCACGAGGAGTCTGCGTCTTGCCCTCCCAGTGGTCTTCCCTTCCAGCAGGAACCCTGGCCGCGAGAGTGTCACCTGCGCCCTGGGCGGCACCACCTGCCTCCATCAGCAGCTGAAGCCAGCGCTGCCCGCAGCCAAAGAGCACGCCAGGAGGGCCGAGGGTCCTCAGGGGGCAGCCCCCAGGCTGAGCCCCGGCGCGCAGCCCGGATGGGAGAGGGCGGCTCCTCTGCGGCCCCAGCGCAGCGCGGGCCTCTAGCTGCGAGTCCCCGCACCGAAAGTTCCCGGGATAGGTCGGAGTCGGTTTCACCTGCCCTGGAGACGCCTCCTCCCTGGCTCTGGGGGAAGGGCCCGGCCCGCCTCCTCCTGTCCCTCCGCCCTCTGAGGTCTCCCCCACCCATCCCGGATGAGTCAGGCTGGTTAGAGGCGCCGAGAGCACCGGTAGGTGAGGTCGGGAGTGAACCTCCGCAGGCAGCGAACCTCTCGGTAGGACGCGCGGTCACTCCTGGCCCGGGAAGTGGAAAGCAGGTAGGCGACAGGCCGCTCCTGTGAGTCCCCGCCTGGCAGGAAACAAAAGCAATACAAGGTCGGTTCCTGCCCTCTCCATGCGCAGTTCAAGTTATGACCCAAGTCGATGGGGGCGGGGAGTTGTCAAATTAACAGGCCGTCTGCGATTTCTCCAGAAGGTGCCTTTCCGTTTTACCAATGTCAGGGAATAATTTCAGATTCCCGGGGGCAGTACTGAAATCCAGGGAACTTAGGTTGCGTCCAAACCAAATCTTTCTTGATATGGAGATACAGATGTGGCTGCTCCTTGGGCTATGGCTTTATGGTGTCCAAATACACCAGCCGGTGTCTGTACTGAAAAAGAAATGACTGAAAATTACAGGCTAATATTAGTATCTGCCTTTCTTTTTCCTACATAATTTTCTCACCTTAAGATGCAAGGAAAAAAAAAAAAAAACACACAAAACTGTTGAATTATTTATTGTCCTGGGAGCCCAAACCAATAGGAATTGTGTCTCAGCCAGTTCTTTAGGATTATTTTGTTTATATTTAGTCTAAAATGTGTGAACAGAAGAGATACGCATTGTGTTTAGGTTGGTTTAACTGGCGAGGTCTTTGCTTTTGTAATGTAAGTTTCCCTCCATGCTCAAAATGCTGAAAATACAGACAGACTAGGCTGATTTGACCCCACTGTTCCTAATGTTAGATAGAATGAAGGCTTGACTCTAATTCTCCATTGAAGGACTATGAACTGTACCCAATTCAAGACTATTTGTAAAGAGCTGACTTTGTCATTATCCTCTTCAAGATGGTAGAATTACAGCACTCTCTCCCACCCCCAACAGATGTTACCTTTTCTCTGTCCACGTGTTGATCTATTTAGTCTTTGAGATCCTGTGTGCCTCTCCCTGTTCTTTATCAGCGCTGTTCACAAGCCCACTGAGCTTTTCAATGTTTAATCAACATATTTACCTATTTTCACTCCAAGCCCTCTCATTCTTTAGGTCAGCCTTCCTATTTCTTTTCAATACAAGACAGTCTTATTTACCTTTCAGCCCCAGCTGCCACAGCACATGTCTATTTCTTAGAATTCTCTCATAACTGCTGCATTTCTCATTATAAATTCCCCTCTCCTGTCATTTGACACTCTTCTCTCTTGTACTCCTCTCGTTTTTCCACTTTTCTTCCTTTTCCTTCTGTTTTGCATGAGCCCCAATTGTTTTTGCCAAGATAAAGTTTGAAAGTATGCTGACCCTACAATAGTCAAGATATTTTAGCATGGACCAATCTTAGTAACTGCCATATAGGCCACATTAGCTGAGCTTTATTTAAAATCTCCAACACTACCCCTGGTACTTTTCCATGAATGAGTTGGAATCTCTGGCTTTAAATTATCTAGGTCAGAAAGAAGAAATGGAAATATTTATTTATTTATTGAAGTACTAGGGATTGAACCAGAGTCTGACAACATGCTAGAAAAGTGTTCTACTACTGAGCTACATCCCAACTTTCGTTTTTGTCTATTTTTGGTATTTTCTAGAATTTAAATCCAATAGTGGGTTGAGGGGGGAAATTGTTTCCACAGATATCTCCACATAACATCAAGCCTTTAGGATAGTTATTAAAATAAATGTTTTGTATTAAACTTAAGCTTTCTTTTGTATTTATTTCCTAGTGTTGAGTCTTGGTGGAATTAACAGAGGTATAACCACATGAAGGGCAGGAGGGAGTCCAAATGGAAAACACAGGTAGGTATTTTAGAGTGGCCAGGTTTTCTTTTCTTTCTTTTTTTCCTTTTTTTTTTTTTTTTGTACCCAGGATTGAATTCAGGGGCACTCAACCACTGAGCCACATCCCCAGCCCTATTTTGTATTTTAGACAGGGTCTCATTGAGGTGCTTAACACCTCGATTTTGCTGAAGCTGGCTTTGAACTCTCTGGGATTACAGGCATATGCCACAGCACCCAGCTTCTTCGTAGGTACTCTTCAAAACATCAAAATAAAAGACTTGCTGCAAAGTCATAAAGAGAATGAGGCTTGGATTTGAAGTACTTAAAAAAAATTAGAGGAAGTGGGGGGTCATCAAAGATGTGATTGTTGAAATCAGGGTGGAATTACTTGTGGATTGAAGGTCTGCAGAAGTAGAAAATAGGGAACAAAAATTAAATTGTTCAGTTGCTTCAGATTTCTGGGCACCCTGGTGGTTAAGCATCCAGACCTCTTCTCCTCTTTGTCTCTCTTGTTCCAGGATAAGGGGATTCTAATTAAGAATGTTCTGTACCTTATAGCAGGAAGTATTTTCCTGCTTCCCTCATATCTAGTTCATTATTTCCAAAAATATATATGGAACAACTATCTTGTGCCCACACTGCTGGAAATGGCTATAAAGAAGAAAGTGAGCTTGAGAACTCTCTTTTACATTGGGAGCAACAGACAAGATAAATGTCATGAACCTGACCACTAATACTTTCTCTTGGCAAGTGATTTAACAAAGGCATACACCATGTTTGGAAGTTGAAGGGAAGTATTAAAGGAAGAACTGAGGCTCAGCTTGGCAGATCAGGACAATTTTTCAATAAGAGGCATCTTTGAGTAAAGGTGAGAAAAACCTTTAAAGTAGAAGACACATTGGTGCAGAGGCAAAGAGAGCTGACTTGGCTTAGCTTAGCTGTTTGGGGGAACTAACTGAAAAGAGACCTGCTTGGCCTGCTTAGCCTTAAGAAAGAGAATGTATGATGTTCAGGAAACTGTAAAAGTAAGGCGGCAGTCAGAATGAAAGTTTTAGGGGAAGGAAAACAGAGCCTTTGAAGAATTTTCCAGAGGGTAGCAAGCTGACCAGATTTGTTTTTTAGAATGGCCTCCTGGAGGTAAATGTTGGTTTGAAATCATGAACAATATTAATAAGTAAAAAGAACACATTGCAGAGCATTGCTGTATTTAACCAAATCCAAGACAGTATTGATTGCTTGACACATTTTGATTTTAGAGATATTCAAATGAAAAAAGTACTTCTTAAAATAAAATTATAGCATGTTTAATAAGATTCTATTTTTATTATTTTTACTTTTTATTGTAATGGGGATTGAACCCAGGGATACTCTACCACTGAGCTACATCCCCAGCCCTTTTAATTAATTAATTTATTTTCTTAATTTTGATACAGGATCTCCCTAAATTGCCCAGGCTGGCCTCAAATTTGCAATCCTGTCTCAGCCTCCTGAGTTACTATGATTTGAGGCATGTGTCATCATGCTGCCAAGACTGTTTTAGAAAAAGAAATGTGTATTTGGGGATTCGATTTGAGGACTGCCTGAGGGGTGACTTTAACTTTTTAAAAATAGCCTTATAAACTATTTGAGTATTTTACAATGAAAATATATTATTTTTTTCATTTGAAAAGGCACTCAAGAACCAAGCACACACTTGTAATCCCAAGTACTTGGGAGGTGGAGGCAAGAAATTTGCAGGTTTAAGTCCAGCCTCGGTAACTTAGACCCTTTCTCAAAATAAAATAAAAAGGGTTGGAGAGATAGCTTAGTAATAGAGCACCCCTGGGCTCAACTCCTAGTACCACAAAAGACAAAACAACAACAACAACAACAAAACCTGACATTCAAGCAAAAATGACATGAATGAACAAGAAAATCAGATCTTTAGGCTGGAGGAGGGAGGGGAGGGAGGGGAAGTTGCCAGCAGGGAGAATAATCTAGAAGTTACTGAGAATACCCAGGAAAGGGATAAAAAGGGTTGAGTTCAGCAGTGGCCGAGAAAGGGAAATGAACAGATGAATTTGAGAGATATTTACTAGGTGAATTCAGTAGCATTTGAAGCCAGAGGATCCTACCTATAGGATGAGGATCCTGCTTGGCTCACTCCCATGCACCCAGGCTGAGTAGCTGAGTGGATGCCTATTAGCATCTATCTACCTGGATAGAAAATGTAGGAGGAGTAGTTCTTGGAAATAGGATGATAATTTCAGTTAGGGGTATATTAGGTTTGAGGCTATAAAAATAGAAACATCTAAAAGTCAGTTGGCAATGTAAGTTCTGGGCACCAAGGATGTATGACTTTATCACGTATAAATGATTATTTAAACCACAGGTGAGGATAAAATTACTTATAACAATACATGTATATATGTGTATATATTTTCATATTAATATGTCTGTATATATGTATTTATATATGTACATTTATATATGTAAATATCTATGTATATGTACACACACACACACACATATATATATATATATATATACATACACACAGTGGGCAGGGAAGGTACAGACACTGAATCCAATTTGCCAAAGAGAAAGAGGAACTGAGACCTGTCAAGGAGACTTGGAAGGCTCAGCTAGAGGGAGAGAGAAGCACCCATATCACAGAAGCACAGGAGCAGAAGGAGGAACAGCTTTCTGGAGATGCTGCCAGGGGAGATAAGAAGTGAAATAGGACCAGAACCCGTCAGGTCACTGGGGCTGATCTGGAACAGTTTCAGAACAGTGGTGGGGATGAGCCCAGATCACAGAGGGGCAAGGGCTAGGAGGAGTAGAGTGGGGTACTGAACCATCAATGAAAGGAGAAAAGACAAATCTAGAT